GAGGATTCCCAAGAGGATCACTGGGCCACGGTGAAGCGGTTGCTGCGCTACGTCAAGGGGACGGCGGATCAGGGAATCGTCTTCCCCAAGGCCAGCGGAAGTGGGCTACAACTTACTGTGTTCAGCGATGCAGACATAGCGGGGGACATCGACGGATGGCGGAGCACCTCTGGCGTGCTCGTCTTCCTCGGATCGGCTCTAATCTCATGGCTGTCGCTGAAACAGAAGGTGGTGGCGCTATACACGTGCAAGGCAGAGTACGTGGCAGCGGCCACAGCGGTGTGCCAAGCTGTGTGGCTACGCCGGCTGCTGGACGAGATGACTGGTGTGGAAGCTCACCCACCAGCACTGATGGTGGACAACTAGTCCGTCATCACCCTCGCGAAGAATCTGTTTCTCCACGACCGGAGAAGCATATCGACATCAAGTTCCACTTCCTCAGGGACTGTATCGATGGAGGGCAGATCGTCATTGAGTTCGTCGAAACTGGTCGGCAACTCGCGGACGTCCTCACTGAGCCACTCGGCCGTTTTCGGTTCACGAAGCTGAAGAAGATGATTGGTATGGTGGAAGTTCTAGGGTTAGCAACAGAATTAAGGAAAGAATTGTAAAATAATCTGCTGCTCTTCCATCGGTGTGAACGCGCGGTAGGGGCAGGCGCCGAAAGGGCTCCCTGTCGCTGCACTGTAGCCGAGGCAGGGGCAGGCGCCGAAAGGCTCCCCTGCAACACTGTAGCCACAGCAGGGGCAGGCGCCAAAGTCAGTTCTGCTGTCATATCTAGTCACTGTAGGAGCATGACAGCTTGATATGTCTATGTACTAGTATTACATGGGTAGAGTGTATATATATCTTCCCATTGCAACTCAGTAAAGAGAGCGAGTTGAGTTTTACCATCTTCTCTGCAGAGCTCCGGCCAACGCTGGTGCTTGTGCTATGTGTCTGCGCTCTGTTCTCCCTCCCTTCTTCTATCTCGAGCCATAGTGTATGATCGATAATGCCGGTGACCGGTCGGCTCACCCAGTGACTGGTCGGCTTACCCGTGCGGGAGATCTAGGGGCCAACATAACTAACCTTCCAGAACCCCGCTCTGCATCAGAGTAATTACAGAGACAACAACAAGCATTACCACACCCCGAAACACCAACATAATTCTTTAGCTCCAGATTAGGAAAACCACAAACCATGCAAACCTACCAGATCAAATCGAACAGCTAGCGCCAAGGCAATGTTGAGCATGTCTCGTGTTTGGCGCTATGCCCATACGTTTGTGCACCTCATGAGCAGCCTTTGATCAGAAACTGAACTAAGAATTGGATGTTCCGAACTGATTGATAAATTCAGGGAACAAGGGACAAATACGCTGTTATATAAGTATAACGCTTATACATACGCTTCACAGTCAGGGTGGATGTTGATCTTGATTCTGAGCCAGAGTAAAGATATCTGTTATCTGGTGAAGTTCAAAGAGGACGAACTGTAGATGGATCTTAATCTTAACACCAATATACTCTTATTAGCTTAGGTCCTTTTAAGCCGTTTTACCTCCTTAATTTAAAATTCAAAAGTTAAGTAGACATAATAATATAATAATTTGTCCTCTGGAAAGCAGGAATTTCACCCACAACCAAGTCCCGTTCGATCATGGCAAGGGGCACCAGGGCTCCATTTTCACGGATGTTATGGATCAATTGCAAAAGAGTAGAAAATTTCTGTTACATTAAAATAAAGATGCATTTGCAAAATATTTGTAGTACCTTTCAATTTGAAGGTATTAACAAAAAAATCAATTCAATTGTAGTAAATATACAGCTTGAACGTGTCCAAGCTAAAATCAGGAGGAGAGAACAACGATGTAAATATGACAACTACATATCACTTCAGCGTGCCGAGCTGGACAAAGTGGCAGAGACTAAGCATTCAAAATTGGCCAAAAGAGTGCGGACAGAACAGATTGCTCTGCTGAACAAAGCATTAACTGATCAGCATGCCACTTATGCCCAGAAGATAGAGCAGGAGCGTGCTCTCTCAAATGATGCCTTACAAAAGGTAATGTTTAAGTGTGTTCACTGTTCTGCATTATTCTTTCATCTTGGTTAATAGGTAGAGTAGCATTAATCACTATCCATTTTCTTTTTTTTTTCATGTTAATAGGTACAATAGCATTTTTCTTTTATCTTGGTTTGGTAGAGTACCTCTCTTTGTTCAGCTTTTGGAAGTTGGATTTTTCTTATTATTAGGTCTGTACCCAAATCTTTGTCAATCTTGTAATCTTGTATAATTATTAATACAACACTTGTACAAGCATAACATGATTTCGTACTTTGATGTAGCATACTTTTAGTCTACTGGATGTAGTTTTAAAAGGGTTTGAATTTAGCATGCCACTTATTCTTGTTTCTTACAAAAGGCCCGTGAAGAAAATGATGCCAATATAAAGAACGAGAAACAACGCTTTGAGTCGATGATTGAGCAGGCAAGGGCACAATTGGGAACGTTGGAGAATGAGCGCTTAAAGATGAAGACCCTCATTGAGTCTTTCATCCAACGAGAGGAGGTCCGTGCCAACATGAATATAGAGGTAACTATGGTACTCTTTTAATTTATATTATATATATAACCAGCTGAACGCCCTTCTTGTTTGCACTTTCAGGTAGAAGATATGATATGTATACCACGGAGATACATGTGTGTAATAACTAATAACGAGTGTGGCCCGGTATATGAATTTTTCATATAATTTTGGTTACTCGTTGATCTGAAATGATTCTTATTCGTCTAATCTATACATGCAGCATGTGGTAATGCGCTTTAAGATTCACTCCGTGAAGGAAATATATTCGGATCTACAGAAGTACTACGACAGTCGAGAACAATTGGCCGAGTTTAAAATTACAGAGCCAGCCACCGTTGAGTATTACATTCTGTCACAACGTTTGACTGCTTATTTTGGATACAAAGGAGACGCACAGTTGTACTACCTGAATCCTGTTCATGGGAGTGAGCCATCAACTGCATTGGTAAAGATTGACAGACAATAAGATGTAGACAAAATGGTGGATGCACATGCTCATGAAAGGACAAAGATTTGTCATCTGTACATAGTGAACGGAGTTGGATTTTATGATGAGGACGGCCGTCCATGGCAGCCTGATGACGAAGGCCATCCATGGCAGCCTTATGAGGAGGACCGTCTATCGGGCAGCGCTGATGAGGAAGCTGAACAAGACGACACGTCTCCTGTGATGAAGAAACGACGCGCTGATGAGGAAGCTGAACAAGACGACATGTCTCATGCGATGAACAAACATGCTTCTTAGCTATTGGATAGTTGGAGTTTGGTCTTTTACTTGGTCACTTGTTTTATTTTTCTGAAAACTGAATGCACTTGCTCTTGGTCTTTTATTTGGACACTTGGTCTATTAGTGTTGCAAGCTGCTACTTTTCTGGAAACTGAATGCATGTTACTGTGATTGTGCAAGCTGATATTTTTTCCGAAAACTAAATTGCAGTGGCTTGTCCTTTGTCTATTTTACTTCTAATTAGAATGTTGATAAAGGCAGCGCGCTCAGGGAATGCCCATTAGATGGCCTGGGCTCTACTAACTACAATGGTAGAAACCATCTACAGGTGCTGCAATGTCCTGCAGATAGTCGATTGCTGGACTGGACAGTAACACCAGCTTGTCTATTTTTTCTGAATTGACTTTTTGTTGCTTAGAACGCTGAGTGAGCATGCCCTGTAGATAGTTGGCCTGTTCGCTTGCTCGTAAACGATCGTAAATTTCCAGCCAGGAACAGTGCTTTTCTCTCACACCAAACCAGCCAGCAGTAAATAATCCACGATACGATACGGCCTCCCGAACAGGCTTAGTATAACCTGAACTGCTCAAGTACAAAACCAGCGTGTTGCTATGGTGTTCTGTTGATAGACCTATGTTTTGATATGCACCTGTCTTCTGGAGGACAACTCAATGAACCACATGCTGGGAATTGCAGGCAGATGACATGTACTTTTACTGTAGAAGTGTGTTGTGTACCAATCCACGGAATTTCGATCGTTGGTATTCCTGAAGCTTGTTTTGAAATTCTCATTAATGTAATGGACACATGAATTTTCATGTTTTGGCTAGTGATTGAAAAATCGTGCTAAATTCTTGATAATCTGTGAACTGAATGGCTGCTTGCAATTGCTCAAACAAATCTTCGAAATCATCGACCTAGTGTGCTTTACTCTTTTCTCCATAGGCAAGATTAATGGTTTTTGTTACTGGTGTTTGAATCACAAGCAAGCTAGAATTGCATGGGTTCACCTATTTACGTCCACCTTTGTGTAAACTAACATTCTAATGAAGGCACAATGTTTCACGTGCAATAAGAATACTGCACCAGTACAAAAATGTTGATATTGTTTTGTTTTTTGTACGTTTGCTGCAATCTGTTTGATGGAGTTTACCTGGATGCAAGTGGTTCAGGTCAGAATTAAGTTCATATTCGAAGATATCTTGTGAGGCAGCAATAATGCAAGGTGACTATGCCTTCATCACATAATGTGAAACTGCCAGTTAAGCAGTCATGAAACTGCTAACCTCAGGACAAACTGCAGCGATACAAATCACAACACGCACTGGGTTTTGTTAAGTTCTCACTCCAGTATCAAGCATCTTGCCTTTTCCACAGACATCATTTCAAGTTGTCCTACACTATCAACCAGCTTGAGACAAAACCACAGTAAGTATTTATTTGTAAATGTTTGGTCAGACAACTGTGGACAGGAGGTTAGGTAATTAGGTTACAACCTGCTGCCTGGATTTGGGGGTCAACATGTATGTATAATCCCTTGGAGTGTTAGCTTAGATGAGTTTAGAAAGCAACCATATATAGCACAATGATCCTGTGCTTACAGTTACAGGCCACAACCATCTCACTAAAACACATGTGCAGTACAAGACAATATATAAGAAGACAACTGAAAGAGTACTGTTCTGCAGATGATTAAGTTCGTTAATGAATAGATCCATGTACCCTGAAAAAAAAATGAGCAAACAAGGTACTACTGCACAGCAAGTTGCATATATTATTCTGGTATCTTCAGATGTTGTACAGGAGTATCTCAGATTCAAACTGTTGCTACTTGCTAGTATGGAATAGTAGAATCAGGTAGCTTGTGACTGTTTTCAGGCACAGACAGACAGAGGTTCAGGATTCAAACAGTTTCCTACAGCAGACTGAAACTGAATTCCTCCTGTGCGACTACTTCTAACCAACTATTGCTGCCAGTAGGACCGACATGCTCCGAGACAAACTAGTTGACGAATTGTCAGCCACACCACAACAGTTCTTGCTTCATCTGCACGCACAAGCATCAAAGTTGACTTGGCAGGCATGCACTGAAATCTGCATCACTCAATCATGGACAGTTAGGCCTACAATGAGGAAAGATTTGTTTTTTACCACAGTTACTGAATGAAGTACATCTCGCTGTCCATCAGAGAAAATTGTCGCAGCGGCACAGTTGTGTGTCCATCTGACCATCTCGCTGTCCATCAGAGTTCAGAGGGAACCTGCTCCACGAAAAATATTCCAATGAACATTGCTATCTAAAGACATTGCTGCGTAAGTTCCATGTTCAGCCAAGAATTACATCACCTATTTCAAAATCTGCATAGAGAATATGTAAATGATATGAGAAGAAATTTACCTGAAAACTCCATTTGCCATCTCAAGCATTGACACATCAACTCCATTTCCATTTGCACTGACTTTCATCTATTTTGCAAAAGTACATTGATTGCTCCCTGTAGGCTTTTCAACTTGGCCTTTCTGGTTCACTGAATCGATTGCCCTTCAGTGCCTCCTACAATTTGGGAAAAACAAAGTATAGGGAATGCTCACAAGTACTGATTGTGTACAGATTGCTTATTTACCTACTAAGCAAAATCACACTGCCTCTGTCCACTGCCCACATGGCCTCTTCGCGATGTGGTGTCCTGCCAGCACCGTTCTCCTCCTGCTGTGCGGTAATTGTCTGCAGCAAGCCAGCAACAAGCAGGGAAACGATATTGCCTTGTTAGAAGCATCACATACCAAAACCATGCATTTACTAGCAAAGTTAATAAGGTAGGGAAAAAGACAGTCACTGAATTCAAATACATGACAGATAATAATTCAGTACGGAAACCATACTTATCATCAGAAATATGACAGTGCAATCCTTTGATCATGAAACCAGACATACTCCTTCAAAACTAAATGATAATGCACTAATTGCAGTAAGTAATTTAGACAGATAATAATTTTAGGGTCAAATTGGCCCGGATCAGCAACACATCAACACGAACACAAAGCCGACGATATGAACAAACCAAGCAGCATGATTCCATGATGTAGTTGCAATTTCTGACGAATACATTTACAGACAAAACGTGCTATGTGCCACAGCCTGAGGTCATTTCTAACTATCACTCTCAGCAAGGAAATATTAGAAACAACAGAGTTCTGCACTCTATAGCAGCGGTGCCGGAGATCCTCACAGGAGTTTCTCCATCCCGTAGGTATCTTCAGCACCACTGGCTACCTTTCTTCTTCTTTCTGCTATCATCTCGGTGTATGCCTGAGAGAAGCCACCACAGGGTCAGTTCTATTCTATCATTCTTTGAACTACTTTGGAACACAACAGTAAAGTAGCAATGTTTAGAACAGGGTTAGGCCAAAGGTATTTGACACAGAAGAAATGCTTAATTGACTGATATGCTACAGCGTACCTATTGTGCAACAGCAAGCGAATCCTTGGCAAATCATATATCCAGCACATCTTCAGGAAGCTTTGTTTCCTACAAATGAAGAGTAACATTAGCCATAACTAGACAATCCTCATAGACAGGCAGTTGTTAGCTTTGATGAACATTACTCTTAACTACCTCTTCTCTCATGGAGCATGTTCGTCGATTGTGACCCTCACCCTTACACAGGGTACATTTCACCTTAGATCTCTTCTTATTTGAAACTGACTTCAACTTTTTCTTCGGGGCCCCTCTGCCAGGAACATGCATGGGATCCAAGACATTTCTGGACTCTGCAGAATCAACATCCATGCATTGCGGCAGCACCGGACCATACCTCTTGTCTTCGTTCTCTCCTCCGTTTGGCAGGATCATAGCAGCTTCCTCATGTAGAACACGTTTCAGTCGCTCATATGCTTCAGGTGAACGAGATGCTAAAAAGGATGCAGTGTGACTGATATTGCATAGCTCATGGTACCTCTGTAGACTATCGAAATAGTCATACATGGTGCTCTTCCTTATAGGAGGAAATGCACTCTTGGCCCTCCTTGTCCACCTTTTCAAAACACAGCAGCTTGGAAGCTCGCGTTCTTTGCGATATCCCAATACAAAGAAGATGTGTGAGCAGGGGGTTCCAAGGGACTGCAACTTAAGACAAGAACAAGAAATTCTCTTCAGATTGCCTTCATCAACACATATCTCACATTCAACATGGTATTCTCTATCTCCTTTATTCTCCCTGCCAACAATATACTTAATCACATCATAGTCATCTAGAATCTCTCTCGCAAAACACTTTTTGGCTGCTTTTATGCTGAACTGCACCTTGGCAAAAATTCTTGGTGTGAATGATTTCGCAGCCTCTTTCTCAATAATTGAAGCATTTGGTTCTAAGCATGGTAAAGAATTCGATGCTTCAAAGTCCAGATTCGCTTCATTACCGCGCAGCTGCGAAAGGCAGTGGTCAAAGTGCTCAACCAGCTCGAACAATGTCATTTTACGATCTAGATTTACCTGAAGCCTAGAGTTCAGGCTCTCACTCCGCTGGTTGCTCCTTAGTCCTAAATAGCACTTATCAGCATGGTACGCAGCACACCAGATTTTCCTCCTCTCATACATCTGATACAGCCACGACTCCTTATCTGTAACGTTATGCTTATCCAAGAATTCTAGCCATTTCCTCTCAATCTCTACTATGGAGCAACAATCATAAAGGAAATACCTGAAATCAACCTTCACACCATCATTGTGAAGATTACGCACAATGTTCTGCTCAATATGCCATATGCATAGCCTATGCGATGAATTCGGCCACACCAGCCTGATTGCTCTCTGCATAGCAAGGTCTCCATCAGTGATCACGGAAACAGGATGCATCTGAACCATGGCATCAGAGAATGTGCTAAGAATCCACACATATGACTCAATTGTCTCCTGCGAAATAATTCCACATGCAAAAAGAACTGTGCTGCCATAGTGATTCACCCCAACAAAAGGAACAAGGGGCAGGTTGTACCGATTCGTTTTGTACGTGCTATCAAATACGACGACATCACCAAATGCTGCATAATCAAGCCGACATTGACTATCACACCAGAGCAGTCCCTTGAGGTGCCCTTTTCCATCAGTCTTGTAGTCGAAGAAGAAATCAGGATCCTTACGTCTGCACTCTGTCAGGTAACTAATGACTGTTTGAGCATCACCAGCAGCAACTGTCTCCACCTTATTGCGATGGCAGAAATTATACAAGTCCCTTGTTGTGAATCCAACTTTATCATACCCACCGTACTGCATTTCCATAATATCCATTATCTGGTGTTTGCGGATCCCAGAAATCTGCATCGCCACAATATCAGTTTTTTGCTCATCGCTGATTCTTCTATGTGAATGCAGAAGACAAGCAAGGTCTCGTTCCGCCATTGGATGGTTGTGTTCATAGATGAAATCCTTCACATACCACTGCCTAGTGTTCTGTTCCCATGCAATCACAAATTTAGCAGGGCATCCAACACGAGTAATATTCTGTGGCTTTCGCTTCTTAATCTCCCTCTTCAGCTCCTTCTCTTCGCGGAAACCTTCACAACTGCAAACAAACTTCCGAAGGGTCCTCTCATTGTGGCCGTTGCCCCACTCACAATAGCTTTTCCTAACACTAAATTCTTTCCCCTTTGCGTATTTGTTATAAAACAGATATCCTTCTGTTTCACTACCAAATTTCTTCCTAACAATTTCATTGTACTCCAGCAAAGAATCAAGATCCGGCATTTCCTCCTGCATCAATCAACAACATTTGAGAAAAGTCTGAAGGAATAGTTCTGTAAAGGCACGATTTCATGCTACATTTTCGCATACAAGTCATTCAGTTGCTCTACCAAGTAGCGCTGATGGTGAAGTGCCTAAATATAGCAAACAAAGTACTGGAAAAAAATTATAACTAGCAGCAGCAAGCATCCGTACGGTAATGTCAAAAAATATTCGGAACTACAGTATGACAACTCTTGTTTTCCTTTCCCATTCACACATATTACTATATTATTGTGGCATCAACAGCATTCATGTTCATAGATATCTTTTTTTTCACAAGGAAAGCCAACGGAGGAGCCTCCCAGTGCCAAGGCCGGGGATTGAACCCGGGATGCTGGTTTGAGGGCTGGCTCAAGGAACCACCCGGACTAACAGCCCTACTGTTCATACAGTATCTACTAGGCTCAAAAAGGGTTTATCCGCTCTTAAGGATATGCGGCCATTTTTAATCATTCCCCAAGGACCAGAGTATCGGACTTTGTTCCAATAAGTGTGGCCATCTACCAAGACAAGATAAAATTTGGAATCAAGCACCTATGCTGCAAAGCTAATGCTGTAATTGAATTTTATAGTGTAAAGTTATGAACCCTGAAATCATATTGCTAGTTTTGTTTGACCATTCTCAATGACAATAAACATTACGATAGAGAGTCAACGTATCTGTTGATATTATTAGTACTTAAACTTGCCCAACAGTAATAAAATAAACTTGTTAGACATAGGTGTTGTATCTCTTCATCTGTGTCATTTACGTATGCCCATTATTTAGCAATGTGGTTGTGGTGTTTATTTCTAAATCTTTTAGATCTTCTATGGGATGTGCATTTAGGCTTTGCAAAAATTCTATGATTGAATGCTAATGATGTGGCATTGAATATGAAGAAACAACGAACTTGTCAACTATGAAAAATAAAGAAATCACTGGGGCACATTTGAAGAAGCTTGTCTCAAAATGTTTCTGATAGTAGTTTTTGATTTTTTGATGTTATGTTACTAGAGGTTTTTTTTATTTACAGGTGATTTAGCAGATAAATCCCTTTTCATGGTGTGCTCATTTGATTACAGGTAGTAGAAAACCAGTACTAGCATTGTCTGGTAAAACAACGCTGCTAGAAAGGAATATATATTCCATCTACCAATAAGTGTGGCCATCTACCAATTGTGTGAGTAGTTTTCGCAGTAGACTTTGGATTAGAGTAGTATGGTATGTGTTTATCTGAAATGAGTTTACGTTTGCTCCTGCCTCTGCAGTGTATGCAATTCTGAATACTTAAATTGAAAGAAACAGTGAAGAACAACTGCATTTGCAACTGAAATCCTTGTCGATTTCCATCAACCAAACCAACAATACCTACATAAGAGATACACGAATGGCACCGACAGATTGCTCACCTCGCTGCGAAGGTCGTGGAGGGTTCTAGACGCCGGTGACGAGGTGAAGGCGGAGATCAGCGGCGGCGGCGGGTAGAGCTCCGGGCGGCGGCTATGGCGGTGCGCGTTCTAGGGCTAGGGCTCGGGGCGGCTCCTGTAGGGTTCAAAGGGTGCGGCGCGGTGCTCTGGGCCTAATCTTCATATGCACGGGCGCGGGGAACCTCGGGGGGCGCGTGCGTGGGAATCGGTCGGCGGTGGATTCGCCCGGTCGATGCGGCGCAGCGGGGAAGGGACCGGGTCGCTGACGCGTGCGCCCAGCCACGGTTGCTGGGCCTATCGGCCTACGCGCGCACGCGATGAATCGAGGAGGGGGAGCAGGCGGCGGCTGGGCCTGCCCATCACGAGGTGGTGGCCCAACTAAGCCACGTGAATACAACAGTCAGCCATCTGCACCCGGTTTAGTCCCACCTCGCTCGCTGAGCAGCGAAGAATGCAGCTTAAAAGAACAGGAGAAGAAGCAGGGATTGAACTCCTAAACTATACAGTACCTACTCTCACTCGTCACTTGGGCCAATCAGGCTGGCGCGGCCTGGTTGGGCTCCCTCGGTGGTCGAGCCCGACCTAGCTGACGCTGGCCCGTGGCAACAAATTTTTTTGCCACCATTTATTTAAAAAAAATTATATCTACCGCTAGTGAGGCTATCACCATTCATATCCAAATTCTATGTATTGTATTTATTTTTCACCCTCCACAATCTTTTCCTCATCCATAATCCATGCTAATTGTTTTGAGTTACACTACTAATTGCTAATAAAAAGCCAGAACTTAAAAATAAGAAACACTCGAGTTCACACTTTAAAAAACTCGAGATTCCATTCAGAGCCAACCAAAGCAATGTCAACACCTCCTGGGAAAGGTTTCACGAGCACATGAAAAATTGCTTTTCTAGCATGATCCAATTTACGTTTTGGTTTACAGATCATACAGAGTAGCGACCAAGTTCAATGTTACAGCCAACAGATTCTGCTTATCGATGTCTCATTGCAGTGTCAAATCTCGTCTCAACATTAACAACGTTACAATCATACAAAGTAGGGCCGTAGGGCTGTTGGGACAATCATACATAACCTTGCAACTATAACAATGCGAGGTCATGAATATAACCTACTGAGTGCATTAGGAAGTTACATGTAAGTATTTTTTGATGTTTCAGCCCAGTCTTTGCTGGGCTCTCCCTTTGAAGATGCATGCCTCTTGTGACCACTCCGAGTCAATAGCGCAATGCTATTTGATCTTGGCATCTGGACAGCCCCAGCAACACAATCTCCAGCATGAGCACAGCTCCAAACTCAAGAAGGCCCTTCCCCTAGTGAACGTTATCTTCGGAATCCATTTTTTAACCTGCAAATTGACCACTGCTCGGTATCTTTACCAGCCAGCTTCTCGCACACAGGGCAAGGAGGGTCATGCTTCTGCCCCTTGGGAGTGGTCCACTCTAAACACTCAGCATGGTAGACATGGGAGCATGGGAGAACACCAGCAACTGGTAAATCCCCAGTGCGTACAATTCTACAAGAACCCCAAGGTGACCTCTTTGTCACAAGCCTCTCACAGAGGTCACACCTTGTTTTCTGCATTACATTATTACGACGCAAGGTAACTGAAGAAACTAGATCAACAACCTCAGCAAGAACTTGAAAACCTTTGCAGTGAAGTGTGGAGAGGCAAATGAAAGCCGGTGACAGATGATGGAGACCGACTGTGGCTTCACGGCGGCGAGCAGGTGATGGAGAACGATCAGTCGGGAGACGACAAAAGGACGCGCAGAGTCTTCTAGGCGTGATTCACTGGTGACACACATGATCACAGACTATTGCTACACTGATTTGCCATACCACCTATATTAGTTCTGAAATGAAAAAAAATCAAGTCAAGTCGAAGCATGAATTCTATGAAAAACTGATAATGTTAAGTCGAAGCATGAATACTATAGAAATAAAGCACCACCAACTCAGACTTTTCAAATGTTAGTATTAGTATCATAGTATGCTTTGCATTTTTCTAAGAAAAACTGATAATGAATTTGCAATGTGTCACAATACTAAATCATAATTGTGTAGGGTCCTATCTCATATTCTGCATATACCACCAGATAATAATGACCTCACCTTTTGTATATCAGATTATCACCCAAAGGTGTCTGGTGACAATACACTCTGTTTTTCCCTTCCCCATACTGCTCTGAACAAGAAAAAACACTAATGAAACTGAGGCATTATTACGTTGAGCAGGAAAAAAAAATTGGATCGCCTTTTAGCAGTAAAAGAAAAATAATTAACATTCCATAAGAACATGTATTATGCAACCTATCAAGCAGCACTGTTTTTTCACTTTCAACATTTAAAGCAACAAATCCATACGACTATATGAAAAATAACATTGGCAACCAAAATCCAGTGTACATTCACGTTTAACTCTGAACATCAAGCAAGTTCTTAACCAGGATGAATTCTAATTTTTTTTTGTTGCAGTTTAAACAGTCACTGAACTATGAACTAAGAACCAATTTTCAGCTTTTTAACACTATATAATTTAGAGGCACTCATATGTATATTTTTCCCAAAAATCCTAACTAAAGATACCAACTTTAGTAATCCTCCCCACTGCAAGCGATTAATTTTTCAGAAAACTAGGTACTCCATCTGCTAGCTGCAATCAATTTAACCAACAGGCATGACAACCTAAAACAAATTGGATAATAACTAAGTAGTAAAAAGAATTCATAATAATTGTAGTATACCTCAGTCTGATGTTCACTACAATTAACTATTTGCCTAAAATAAGGAAGCATTGGGCAATTAAAAGGATACAGATTAAAGATCTAGGAAATTAACTAAACAGAAATCAAACATTTTCAGATACACGAGTTTCTAATTCCAATTAGAATGAGAATCCTCTAGATCCATAACCCTAGAACAAATTGCCTCCAGAAGACAGTGACATTACCATAGTTGAGGCAGCAGCTGACTAAATTTCGATCTTGTTAGAGATGGGCAACAACGCAAGCAGCGTGTATGGACGTGCTATGGCCTATGGGGAAGTGCATAGATTATACCTGGATGGGAGGAGGCGATAGGGCAGTGTCGGTGGAGGCGGGGGTCCTGATGCGGAGGACACCGCCGACCACGGCGGCGGAGGTCGGCGGAGGTGCCGCTCGCGTCAGGCGGCGGCGCCGGGGAGGAGGGAGGAGCGACGGCGCTAGGCACAGGCGAGGGTAGGCCGGCGACGACGGTGCCGCACGAGGGCGGATGCAGGCCGGCGACGGCTAGGGCTAGCTCGAGGGATGGGCGCCGTTGTTGTGGGGAGGCGGATGTCGGGCAGGCCGGCAACGTTTCCCTTCTCGTGGGTGCGTGGACGGGCTGGGAGGTGGGCCGGCGGGGGTGGTGGGTTGGCTTTGCGAAATGACCATAATGCCCTTAAACGAAAAAAATCAATAAAAATAGCTATTTTGGGTAGGCATGAGGAAGCGTCAGCAAGCGTAGGAAGCATTTTCAACCACTGTAAAAGGGCTCTTTGTAGTACCTTTCAATTTGAAGGTATTAACAAAAAAATCAATTCAATTGTAGTAAACGATGTAACAATAAAATGGAATCTCGTGGTGTTATTTAACTCCCATCTCACAGGATAAGCAGAGACGAAGCTGATGACAATACATGATCTCCGAGTTTTTCGGCCTCTGCGCAACTCAGAACACTTGCGCTAGGATAGTTAAATTTGGCAGTACTTCTTGGAAAGCTGCAACTGTTAATTACGCAATGAATCATAACAACCAGAAGAAATTGCTTCAACGACCTCAGATTTGACCACCGTTATCATGCAAGAGCAGCGGCACCAAGTAGGTTCTTCCTGACTTGGAAACGACAGCAGCTCAAAGCAATTGGCGATTTCATCACTGAACAATGGAATTTATTCCAAACTTAAAATATAATGATCAGAGAGACGGAATTTATCCTATAGCGAGTATGAACGTGCAAATACCTGTGAGTGTTGGATGCTCAGATAAATCAGCTTTATTTGTCATGAATTCTCACTTCTCAGAAGCAAAACTGGCTGGCGTTTTAAGCTGAA